GTTTATGGCACGCTCGCACGAGAAGGTTATTTTTGAGAACAAAGACGCTTCGTAGCTCCGCGAAAAAATAAGTCATTTCTTACAGAACAGTGCCTTTAGAATTTCGACTTTTCCGCGTCCTCAATAACCGAAGACGTGTCATAAACCAGGTATTCCTGAAGGGTTAATCCACACGCGCGTATAACGGCACTTTCGGCCGAGGGTTGACCTGGCGGGAATTTCCGACGCGTCACCGAAGGACAGCGAAGATTCCACGCACCCGCAGGTAGGGCCCCACTCCTTCCAAGGAAAAGCGCGCCAAGGGCGCAATGGAAGGGTGAGTGCCACTCAAGGGGCACGTTGATTGGTAATTTGTGCGTACGTGAAAAACCAATCAGCGTGCCTTCTTGCATTTGGCGGGGGAGTCACGGCGGACTCCGGTAAAATTTCGGGAATCGAGAGAGACTAGCAAGCAGTCACTCGTGTGAACAACACACAAATAAGATACTCTCTCCGTTCAAGTACAATTCAAGTCTTTGAAACAAAGTCGTCAATCGTTCGTGACGCACTTTACGTTTTGCTAACGTTCGAGCAAAGTAGATTTTGAAATAGTTACCTAAGATTAATTTGGCGGGTAATAAGTCGTTAACGCGAACAGTTTGAAACGATCAAACGACCACGCGACGCGACAGAGATAGAAAAAACATAAAATTAAAAAAATTGGTATTTAAATCGCTTGGTTGCCTCGACTCACGTTTCATCCTTATCTTTTATTCGCTGTCCTTGTCTACGTTCGGCAAACTACAAAGGCGGGCGCGAGGCTCGAAAACGTAGAGTCCCTCACTTCACAAGTGTCAGGTTTAGCTTCCTTGCGGACTGATACTTGTGGAGAATTTACTGTAAATCGTCAGTAACACGATACGCGAACAGTACAAATTGGTCCTTCGAACCGGATATACGCGACAAACGTTAAAAACTAGTGCGGTGCAGTGACAGGAAAGTGATATTCATGTAAGCAAACCACTGTTACAGTCAACAATGGCAACCAACGAAATGAGGGAACTCATCACACGACGTGCCTTACGCAGCTCAAAAATTATTTAAACAAGTATAACGAAGAACTAACGGTAAAAAGGAATCGAGTAATGAAAAGCTTCGAGACATTTAAAGAAGTCCAGCAAGCAATAGAAAACGTGGAAGGAATCAGCAATCAATCGGACGAGCGCGAGACAATGGAGGAACAATACAACGACCTGATTACCGCAGCAGAAAAGATACTAAATCCTAGGGCCATAAACAGCCAAACAAGCGCCTCACCATCTACAACAGTCAACGGATCGAGCGGAGTGAAACTACCGAAAATTGACCTGCCTCGATTTAACGGTAGACTGGAACAATGGCTGGCTTTCAAGGCTCAATTCTCGTCATTAATCGACAATCAGGTAACACTGACAAATACACAAAAACTACATTACCTAAAGGCTGCACTATCGGGCGAAGCAGCAGAAACAATAGACTCACTCGACATCATAAAAGAGAATTACGTACACGCATGGGATTTACTAAATCAAAATTACGCAAGCAAACGGTTCATTGTCTGGTGTCACGGCGAGTTACTACTAGAAGTACCACCAATCGAACGTCATTCAGCCATGTCCATCCGCCGTTTCACCAACACCATCAGACAGCACGTGAAATCATTAAAAACTCTGTGACAACCCGTGCATGCATGGGATACACTAATAATACTAATACAAGGATGGACCGAGAAAACCCTGTCAGCTAACGAAATCCCGGCATTGGACTACCTGCTCGACAAGGCCAGCTACCTGGACGCCGCACAGTGGTCCAAATGGGCTTTCTAGCTGGACAAAATTATTTACGCCTCATCTATGAAACTGAATGATGTAGTTCGACTAAATATACGTTTATTTAATACAACTCTAATGTAGAGAAATGAAATTGGGATGAACGGGTGAGGGAAATTAAATTCTATTCAATATTATACTATATGTTTATTAGGTGGAAGTAATAACGCAAGTACTTCTGGTGACATTTCTTTATTTCTAGTCGGTAGTAATGGCCTCAAACTAGAAATAAGGGGCTCTGATGAAATTAATAAGTTATTTAGAAGATTCTCGTTGGTGGCCCTACGAGAAATTTTCCTGGTGTGGTACTCGCGAAATGTTCTCAGTTCCTTATGTCGAGCTTCCTGAGCATCTTCTGACATTTGCCCGATGGGTAATACGATGCTTTCCATCACATTAGTACCATGTATCAGAACTTTGTGGACTGTAGTCGGCATATAATACCAGGAATATAAATGAACAAAAAGTTTAACTGTGTCCAGGGCATACTGGCGGAAAGCTGATGTTTCAACACTTTGACCACACGAAATTGTTTCTAATACAACTGCAAAACGAAATATTAGATTTGCATCTATGCCAGTAATTTCCGCAGATTTCGTTGGATCTGCAAAAAAACGTCTGGCAGTATTGCCGTCATTGGGAGTTCCGAATCCCTGTTTCACGACATCAACAAGAATGCCTGTTTTACTTCTAAATTTAGAAATAATTTCGGATTTTCTTTGTTGAAACCGCTTCTTTTCTTCCTCACTACCACGAATTTGCCATTTTTTTATGAAACATGTAAAAGGCACTCAAAGAAACGTATATACGCATGTAATGTGGAGAGGCCGAAATTGAACGACTCGCGATCATCAGTGCGTTTCACATTTTCTATATCGTTCATCTGTGCAAGTGAAGCTCCACAAATGTAACACTTCTGCGAAGATGTATTTTCCATTAATGCATTACACACTTTCGTCTACCATTGTCCTTAACAACGAATGTTGTATAGTAATATTTCTATTGTTATTGAAAGAAACAATAGCTGGAGTTAATTGTGAAATTTGTTGTTCAATATGGGCGTTCTCCTCCTTGATGTTTTCAGCATTTTCATGAATAAATTGAAATCTAATTGGACGACACCAACGGGTAGATTATGTCCGAGGATTTTTCCACAGCTTGACTGTTTTGCTAGAATATTTATGTTCTGCCGTTAATTCTATGGGTACAATAGATGTTAATAAAATGTTGGCATCCGATGTCTCTGCGTTATTATCCGTAAATTTCTGCTTGTAGAGAGCATGTCCCGAACTGCCATCTAGTCCCCATTTGTAAGTCAAACAGAAGGTATAAGTATTGCTGTTGAAATCGGAGTCTGGTATCTGTATTATAAATTTCTGTTCCCCTGAAAGTACCAACCTTTGAGCCGTATGGTCAAGTAATCCTTGCAATTTCACCTCTCCTTTACTTTCAGTCACAATTACTGATGATTCGGCAGGGTAACATTTTTTTTTCTCAATCAATACCTTGAATAAGGAGGATACAATAGTACGTTTCTTTCCTTTGCTTCTTGCTGCAAACAAACGTACTGATGTTTCGTTAGATCTAACGAAATCATCAAAGCTAACGCCTCTTTTGATTTATACGGTGCAACAGACTTTTTTGACCTCGTTTCTTTTTCGAGGGATTCGGAACTCTTAGCTGAAACTTCTCCAATTGCTCGGGATAGAGTTCTTTTCCCCGCTAATCTATGTGCAACTCGTACTGCGTACTCCAATTCTTCCGCAGTGTATTCCATCAGCAAGCTTTCTATAACTCTGCGTTTTGCCTTTTCGCTTGCATTGGAAAACTCTTTTTTTGGCCCTCTTTTATTACGTTGTTGAAATTCAATCAACGGTTATTCAAGCCAGTCAGAACATTTTAAAAGAAATTTATTTAGAGTGCGATGGTTGGCTTTCCATTTTACTGCTAATTTTTTTCAAAATGATGTGATTCTTTGCTTAAAACAATTCCGTGTCCTATCATTTAATTTGTCAAAATTATATGTTTGAGCAAGATACTCATAAATTGAATGCTGGACTTCAACACTCGTCGACATAGAGACCCTCTTCCCCTCTCGAAGGAATTCAAAAATCTCTATCCTCTTTACCAGAAAATTGCCTGTGCAGTCGACGTTTTGATGGTTTAAGTTATAGCGTAGAAAAATAGAGAAAGTTTTTCGAGAGGTTCGTCAGTTAGGTCCTGCGCACGTGGTGTCGTGATTTGTGGGCCCTTGACTAGGGCTAATAAACTAAGTCGTTAGCTTGAAATCGTTGTCTGGTTGGAAAAGTAACCTATTGTTCATGTTTGAACATTAACAAAAGACTGCGAATTGAAGGGGCATTGTTTACACTAGACAAATGAACAGAGGCCAAAAAGACCTCTGATACTCCTTATTCACTATTTACCTCTCACTTACCATGCTGAAAGATTTTTATAAGCACATTCGATTTTTAGGTTTTGTCCCGCTAGAACTTATTAATTTAATCAGAGCCCCTTATTTCTAGTCTGAGGCCATTACCACCGACTAGAAATAAAGAAATGTCACCAGAAGTATTTGCGTTATTACTTCCACCTAATAAACATATAGTATAACATTGAATAGAATTTAATTTCCCTCGCCCGTTCATCTCTATTTCATTTCTCTACATTAGAGTTGTATTAAATAAACGTATATTTAGTCGAACTACATCATTCAGTTTCATAGATGAGGCGCAAATAATTTTGTCCAGCTAGAAAGCCCATTTGGACTACTGTGCGCCGGCGACAAATACACAAAATAATCCACCATCAACACAAAATCCGTAAGAGTCATGCAACCAGATATCATCAAAAGCCGCCCCAAGGTGTATCTGTTTAGTCGTAAAATAGAACAAAACTAAGGGAACCCTGTAGCCGGATTTATGGCTTCAGAAGTGGTTACGCAGGCAACTATTGTGTTAATAGTGTCCTTTTTCGCGTTGCCTGCGACACTCGGTCACTAGGACTCGAGAGGCCATAAATCCTGGAGTCTTCAAGAGTTCAAGGGACAAGTGGACCTCGATATTTTCGTGACTAGGCCCACTTTACGTGAGAAAATCTCGACTTCGCGGAGACTCCACAGGATTCCCAAACATTCCTTCGCCGAACACTTCTTCGGTCGTTGTGCATCCCTTCCCTAAAATAACGCGTTTGGGGTGTAACGGGAAGGGGGTGTCAATGCATCGCAGAAAAACTGATTGGTGGAGAATCGTTTTGGAAATCACCAATCAGGGTGATTCGGCGAGGAACGCAGCTTTCGTGGAGACGGACCACGAAAGCTTGCACGAGTACGAGTAGAAGTCTCAACAAGAAAACACCGAGTTGAAGTCTCATCAAGAGACACCGTATCGAGTTCTCATCAATGAGAAAAACTGTAACCAGTCCGGCGTAGCCGTATTAATAAACCAAGAGTACCAAGGTGAATCGACGTCAATTTTGTTGAATCCCTTTCCCACGTAATTAAGTTGCCGTCGGGAGAAGCTTTGCAACTAAACGGTATCAAACATTTAACACCACCGTCACATCGTGCCCACTCTGTAAGAGTAACCAACATTGGGTGTACGATTGGGAGGAATTGCATAAGAAAACCGTGCCAGAACGCATACAAACTGTCACAGAACATAACTTGTGTTCAAATTGCCTACGCAAGGGACACTTCAAATCACAATGTAGATCTATAAATTGTCGAATTTGTGAATCATACATACTGAATCACGAGAACCCACAACAAGTAAGGAATCAACAGCATGACCTAATGAGAGCGAAACCTGGCAGCACCTCTCATTAACAGCCAACTCAGGTACGGACGAAATTATGACCACAGCGGTCATAAAGGTACGCGGAAAGAATGGAAGGTTCAACAAATACAATACCTTGCTCGACACCTGCTCAACGGCCAATTTTATAACCAGAGAATTGGCCAATAAACTCCAATTACCGAAGAGACGCTGCTCGGTTCTAATCGGAGCATTGAACTCCCTGAGCACCACATGCACACATACCACGCAACTACCATTCAATCAAATTACACCAATCTAACAAAAACACTCAAATTCTTTATCATATCCACAATTTCAACAATCATACCACAACAATCAATCAATCGCGGAGTCATTCAAATACCAGCAAACATCAAGCTAGCTGACCCTGAATTCCACAAACCAGCACCAGTACACATGCTCTTAGGAACTGGACCGACATTGTCCGTTCTTAGTGTCGGACAAATCAACCTAGCACCTGAGACAGATCTAATTTTACAAAAAACCGTACTGGGATGGATCAACGGAAGAAGCATCAGCACATCAAGCAATCAACCTAATCAACCATCACAAGCGTACCACAACACAACCATAGAAGATGAATTTGATAAATTCTGAAGGCTCGAGGAAGGCATCAACACACCTCCATGGTCCACCGAAGAAGAGGCAGCCGAGACACACTTTAACCCTTTCGCAGACACTTGAAATTTCACATAGGTGCTTAGAAACACACTTGTGACCACAATATTCTTGTTCCACAAACATGATATAATCTTGAAAAATGAGTATAATTGTCACAGTACATTTATACGAAATGTGTTTATTTAGTATAAAAGATACGAAATTAGAAAATGAATTTTGGAACATATTAATTAATAATAAAGCTTAACAAAATATAGAATGTGAATAGTATTTAGATATACAATAACAAATCATATTACAAGAAAAAGCTAAACATAAAAAAATTCTTGCTATATTGTCACATTTCGTTACTGTGCCATTTTTCAAAACATGGTCCTGGACATAAGGGTGGCTTTTCATCGCAATCTCTACACCGCCACGATGTTTCCTTCCGTACATTATTTTTCGAACAATACCGACATCGTAAATGGTAAATCTTTCGTCTGTAGCTTTCAGGCACAGGAATCTTTTCCTGAAAGTGGGATTGGCTTACTTCCTCTTGATTTTCTACAGTAGCTCTTTTGCGTTTGCCTCCGTGTCTCGACCCCATTTTTACAAACTTTCGATCATCAGAGTGATCAGCTGGTATACCGATAAAATACCTTATTAGAAAATTTCTAAAATCTAATCTATTAATACAGTTTTCTTGTCTCTCTTTCATTTTTTTACGATATACATAGTATGCATATGAAACTGTTACATCTAGCAAGTGGAATATTATTTTTTTGTACCAGCGAATAGGTTTTCTCGGACATGAATAATAAGAAATTACTTGGTCCACCCGGTCAATACCAGACATATATGTCGTGTCCTCAACACGAACCACGCGACCGATCACCCCCACCGTTGACTTGCATCGTTTCTATCTCCCTGCCAATAAGGGTTCGCGAAAGAGGCCTTTTTCTAGGAAAGGCGTTGATTGGCCCTTTTTCCGCATTAGCAGCTACAAAAAGATGTACAAAGGTAGCTTTCGCAAGCCCGAGACCAGAATATGTACGGAGAGAAGCAGAGCGTGTACGGAGTGTACATATTAAAAAAAACCGAACAACGTAGTTTAACCTAAAACTAAACAACCAATAGGGAAACATCCATCGTGATATCTTCCAACCGAGAAATAAGATCACGGTAACAAACAATATAAGTATTATATTCTGCAAGATCTTTTGGCTTTACTTTGGTTTGGTTGAATCTATTAGTCGTTTCTATCAGTACTGGGTGGTAACGTGTAGTTATGCTGCAGACTTCCCTCTTATCTTTCCACTTTGATACATATACTTGGCCTTTTCGTTTCCATATATGTTCACCTTTTTTTAATTTCCTCCCTGTAATTTCTCTTGGATTCTGTCGTCTATCAGCACGAAGGGTGCCCGTACAGTGAGTTCGTTTCTCTAAAAGTCGGTTGCATAATTCTACAGAATTATAAAAATTATCCATAAATACATGATGTCCTTCATATAAATATGGATCAAGTAGGCGGAGAACTAAAGATTGTATTTTCGGAACATTTGTTTCTATATTAGTTTTACCCTTATATATTTCGATATTCAAAACGTAGCCGTCTGGGGTACACAACTCAAAAAATTTTATTCCATATTTGGCCTTTTTACTTTTCATGTATTGCCGAAAGCACAACCTACCCTTGAATAATAATAATGATTCATCTAAGGATAGGTTTTCATCAGGATACAGGACAGTCTGAAAATTTGCCACTAACAAATTGAGTAACGGTATTATTTTATTCAAGCGATCTTCAATTACATCCTCCGTTTCACAACTCAAACAACGTAAAATTTGTTCGAATCGCCTTCCCGACATTGTTGCAGAAAAAACAGGATGATAATAGAGTGGGTCATAAGAAAACATTCGTCTTACCGACGGAAATTTCACTTGCCCTTGCAAAAGACAAAGACCCAAAAATTTCCACAATTCTGTAGCATCGAGGATTTTCCAACGACTTTTCCTACTATATTTTGGAGAGGGTAGATCCTGTGTGGCAAGTCTGTTCCCATAATTGTTAGAGGAATTTAAAATTAAATTCATTACATCCTCGTTCCAAAGCGTTTTAAGAACATTAACAGGTGTTATACCTTCCAAAAAATCAATTTTCACTCCTGATAAATTTACATTAAAATTAAAATCTAGAACTTCCCTCGTTTCTTCGACCCACTCTTCAGCGTTCTGTATTTCATTGTTTTCCTCGTTACCGACGTCAGTTTCAACAGAAATATCCATAGTACTTTTTATTTCTGATACTTCTTCTGCACTCCTTTCAATGTTATCAGGATAGTAACTCTCATCACTGTCACTGGAAGCTTCGGATATATCAAATATTTCTTCCTCATCTGTCTCATTTTCATATATAATCCGTCTTCGTTTAGTACGATTCATTATTATATTGAACTTAAAATTCCTAACTACACTAAACTACACTAAATATTATGCTAAGAATTTAAACAAACTATTTCTCTAACTATGAAAATAATCTGGACTCATTCCCGCAGAGAGGTATAATTCTGACTGCCAATCTCTTGTTTCTCTACATATTTCTCACCAAAAAAATAAAAACAGATCACAATAATCGTATGTTTGTTTCTATATTCTTGGTAAGATACATTTGTGTGTATTCAAGACAGTCACAGACATCTTGCCATTATATGGAGAATCGACGGCTATGACCGTCTTGTCCCAATAGACGATCGACAAAACGACGGTCATAGCCGTCTTGTCCGCGAAAAGGTTAAGAACAATATCAATCGGACAGAAGAAGGCAGGTATGTGGTAGCGTTACCCTTTAAAGACACGCCCTTTCAATTAGGCGACTCTAAATACACCGCATTGAGACGGTTTTATGCACTCGAAAAGAAGTTCGCATCAAACCCAGAATTCAAGAAACAGTACACCGCAGTCAGTCAAAAGTACATTGACCTAGGACACCTATCAATAGCCACCGACAACCTACCTGGATTCTACCTACCCCACCACGGAATCCTAAAAGAAGGAAGAATCACTAAGCTGCGGGTGGTCTTTGACGGATTCGCCAAATCGTCCACCGGCATTTCATTGAACGAAACACTAATGATAGGCCCAACAGTTCAGGACGATCTGCTTGCACTAATTCTCAGGTTCCGCATGCACAACAATGTCTTGACAGGAGACATTGAGAAAATGTACCGTCAATTTTCAGTTAAAGAAGAAGATCGGAAGTATCAAAGAATATTTTGGAGGGCCACCGACGGAAAAATAACAACATATCAATTGAACAGGGTTACTTTCGGCTTATCCGCAGCCCCATGCTTGGCAACAAGATGCATAAATCAATTAGCAACCGACGAGGCACACGCATTCCCTACAGCATCCACTGTATTGAAAAGGGATTTATACTTGGATGATTTAATCACAGACACACAAACGAGAAAAGAGGCAATACAGCTTCGAGACGAAATCATCCAATTGCTACAGCGCGACGGAATTCACATAAGACAGTGGGCCTCAAACGACCAATCCTTGCTCGAAGGGTTACCTGAAGGCACCATCAATCTAGAATTGCAAGAGGACCACACGATAAAAACACTAGGAGAAGCATGGAATTCACAGAACGACACACTTGAGGTGAGGGAGGAACGTCGTTACCCTGTTTTCACCTCAATTTATTAAAGTACAAATTTATGGTCGTACGGGCGTGCAATTGGCCCAGGAAATACAATCGTTTATTTTGTTACTCGTCCCGGCAGCAGCGGTTCGGCGGGTACGTCGCGATGGTCGGTAAAGGAGAAACTGTCCCGAGGTGTAGGCGTACTCGGTTTTTATATTGTTAGGACAGGGAGACAGGAGTAGCGATAGATAAAGATAGAAGTGGAGAAAGTGGTGGAAACGGAAAATTCGTGGAAAGCGGGCCGTTCGTCCTCGTGCGAACCTGGATGCCACATGTGCGCTTCTTAGGCCACTCGAGGACGAAAGCAAGTCTTAACCCGGGGAGAAACAAAAGAACGGAAACTAAAATCTGAAGGAGTTGGAAAAGAGAAAGTTCGCGTGGAAGAATAGAACGAGGTTCGGTAAGGATTTGTTGACGACGACGTACCCGCCACACACTCATCTACTCCGTAAATACTTCTTTTGCATCAGACAGTATCATCAAACGCACCACACCCTCACGATCGCCCGGATATTCGACCCACTCGGATTACTTAGCTCAGTAATCATCATTGCTAAGATGCTAATCCAACGACTTTGGCTACTGAAACTGAATTGGGACGAGTCAGTTCCAGCTAACATCTACACCATTTGGTAAGATTACTGTAGCCAGCTGCTGCTGCTCAATAACACATTCCTTCCTCGGAAGATCATTCTGGACCACATGAACGAGATAGAAATACACGGATTCTGCGATGCAAGCAAGAAGGCTTACGGCGTTTGCATCTACCTACGGACAACTAAAGGCAACACGGTTCAATCCAGAATATTTTGTGCAAGGTCAAGGGTAGCCCCGCTCAAAACAGTATCCTTACCGCTCTTAGAACTCTGTGGCGCTTTACATTTAAGCAAACTGCTTCACACAATATTACAAGCAGTGAAAATCAACCCCACGAAGACAGTTCTTTGGACAGACTCAACCATCACGCTGAACTAGATTCGTACTCAGCCAGCCTTGCTCAAAACATTCGTGGCAAATCGCGTGGCGGAAATACATCGGAATACCAATCCGAAACAATGGCGGCATGTCCTATCGGAAGACAACCCCGCGGATTTACTGTCAAGAGGCTTATTTCCCAGGGAATTTCAACAACAATCAATTTGGAAAATCGGTCCAAACTGGTTGACCTAGGAAGAACACAACTGGCCACGCTTCAATATCAACCCACCAGACGAAATCCCAGAAAGCCGAACCAAAATCTGCTTCATTGCCAAAACACAGCCCAACGAACTCTTCAACCGTTTCTCAAATTTCCACAAGCTCATTCGAACAACAGCGTACTGTTTCAGATTCAAAAAACCCAAACAGCACACCGGACCTTTACAGCAGGAGATCACAATCGCACGCAAGAAGGGAAAGGTGTGCGAGAGCAGCAGGTTGATCACATTAAACCCGTTTCTGGACAAGGAAGGAATAATCCGCGTTGGAGGGCGTTTGAGACCCTCAAACTTGACATTTGATAGAAAACATCCGGCAGTATTGCCAAAGGCTCACTACACTCATCATTAATCAGTACCATCAACGCAACTTACACACAGGAGTCTTAGGTACATTACACAGCATCCACGAACAATACTGGCCACTGGATGGGAGGAATCAGGTTCGCAAGGCAATCCGAAAATGTTAAAGATGCTTTCGATGGAATCCACCTGCCACGAAGTACATAATCGGTGACCTGCCACTCACCCGCATCACCGAAGCCCGTCCATTCAGATCCGTTGGAATATATTACTGTGAACCCTTCTTCATCAAGGAAAGAAAGTTCCGTAACCGAAGCAAAATTAAGGTGTACGTTGCAGTGTTTGTATGTCTTACCGTCAAGGCCGTACATCTAGAAGTGATCAGCGACATGTCCACCGAAGGATTCATCGGACGACGCGGCAAGTGCTCTCAAATATATTCCGACAATGGCTCAAACTTCATTGGCGCTACCAACCAATTGAGGGACCTATACGAGACTGAACTCACAGCCTCTTCGCGACAAAATCGAACGAATCTTGTCAGACGAGGGCATTTCGT